CCCCAAAACCCCAAAACCCCAAAACCCCTTAGTGGGTGGAAGGGATTGAAGAAGGGTTATTTTTTATTAAGAAGGTGGTCGATGTTGATTCTTTTGACCATACCGTGGGTGTTTGTGAGGTCGCGGATTAGCTAGAGGGAGGTTAGAGGTGTTGGGCTATGAGGAAGGAGTTTTGGGTCAGAGGAAGGAAATTGGCGAGGATGTATGGCATGAAAGGTCTAACTTTAAATTAGTCAGTTTCTTGGTTAAACTACAAATTAACAACTTATTTCTAATGAAAGAATTTAGAATTCATAAGTACCTTTTTTAACTTATTATCATTATAAAGATAATCGAGCTCCTCTCTTTTATTGATCAGTTCTTGATCTTCTATCATTGGTAATTTATGGATCTGCTTCTTAATAAGTGAGTAGTACTCTGGGTTAATAATCTTGATATCTTTGAATTCATACAAGCATACATAATAGTACACATCATATAGGATAGATGGATAGATAGTCCTGACATTTTTCATTTGCTTCTTCCTATCTTCCTAAAAGTATTAGCAACTGTGATTACAAGGAATTGAAACTTTGAAATTGTTGAGACGAAACTGCATGAATCGAGGGGTGAAGGACAACTGAATTTGAGCTTTAAGTAATCTTTGAACTCCAAATAATCATATTCATGGAATAAATATTTCTTCTGGCAGTACCTATTTTTTAAACACTATTTTACTTTTCAATTATCCTGTAGAAATTTGCTCGCTTATTAGATCTTTTAGTGAAGGTGTCTCATATATCTTCAACACGAAGGGAGTTTTTGTGCTTCTTTTTAGGCTTTTCTCTCATATATCCCTAAATATTACAAAAATGGGTCTACCTGATCCATAGAATTCAGGGTGCTAAACTCTTCAATAGGAGGACCAATAGTTTTGGAAAATGTCTCTGTTTCAGAAAAGAATGAGCTATGAAATAGTTTTAAAATAAGGAATCACTCTTACCCATCTGAGTCCCAAGCATCTTGGTGATGATCATTGAAGGATGATCGCTTAGACCCAAAACTAGGCATTTTCTCAACTTTATTCTTAAAGGGAGATGCAGGTGTGATACTTGAAATTGAAGAGTTCTTCATCATTTTCATCTTATCCTTCTTGTTTCCATTTGCTAGATCAAATTTCTCAGTGAACCTTTTGTACTTGTTAGGCTCTTCACTAGTAATGGAAGCCTTTTTATCTCCTACCATATGCTTTTGAGGCTCAAACTCATGGATTATGTGAATATCTCGTCTCGATTGCTTCTTATGATATTTCTGTTTATCGAGCAATCCTTTTATCAAGACTCTTAAATCTTCTTGCATTAAATACTCAGTGTCTGTAAGATGCCTATTTTTAATTATTTTTGAAAGATTAAAAATTCGAACAGAAATCCAAGAATTACCTCATCATGAGTAGACCATCAGTGACTGATATTTTATCGTCAAAGTCGTGATCAAAGAAGCCAAAGCTGAGCTTTTGCTTTTCATAGTGGCTCATCTTTATCAAATTATTACATCATTCAATATATGTCTCATATTTTATTTGTTTGGGCAGTTGCATTAGAAAGATGACTCTCTCAGTGACATTGGAGCAATATCTATCCAGCATGTACTCTCTGAAGGCTGTTCTGGACAAACTATAATTGTAGAGTCTTGTTCCTTTTGTATCTCAAATTTTATTTGAAATACTCCTGTAATTCTTCATTGTCAGGATTCAGCAGCTCTAACTCCTCATGCATACCTACCTTGTAATTGGAATGCAAGAAGTTAGCTCGAAGCCCTGAGTTTTGGAAATTGAGCCTCTTCTGATTCTGAGGAGTTACGTTACTCTTTGAGTTACTTGGGTTTGCTCTAAAAGCTTCCTTTGCTTTCTAAAATTAAGTAATCTAATAACCAACATTTTTAATCGATTGAGTATCTTTCTTAATGGCTTGATTCTTTTTCTTTAGTGAGAAGATTCTTTGAGGAGGATCTGTTGAATTAAAGGCTGAAACTCTTTTATTTGAACATTAAATTATGAGGAGCATCAGTTGCTAAACTTCTGCCATTTCTTGTTCTCCCTGTTGCAATACTGCTACTTTCATTTGAAAAGTCCGACATTCTTATGACAGGATTTCTAATCCTTCCATCATTAGGGCTATGAATCTGAGTATTAGCAAATAAACGTTTTGTTTGGTCTACATGCCTTCTTGTGGGCAAAAAGATACCTATAAGCATATTATTAATTTTTCATTTTCACCAAGAGTTTACTTATTTCACCTGGATAGTGTAAAAATTGTCAAATAATTTAGGTGAATTAATACTAAAATGTTCCAATGGCAGAAAAAAAGAGACGCAATAGATTATTTTTAGGTCAAAATTTTATCTGACTTACTTTTAGGAATTGCTGTGCTTCTTTTCCTTCTCCTCTATAGTTTGATGTTAAACTTATGAGCTCCTAGAACTTTCTTTCATCACTTTGTAAATATTAAGAAAGAAAACTTTTAAAATATGTATATCCAGATTCAAAATGGCTAAAAGTTAATTAAAGACCACTCCTATAAATAGGTTTAACAAGCTAGATCTAAGATTTAACTTTCTTAAAACAATATTAACATATTCGTTATTTTAATTTTAAATACACCAAGGTCCATATCAAGATCGTGTGTCTTTCAAAACTATTCCTTAGCTAATAACTGGATGCCTCTTTAGGTTAAACTTCCATAAGATAGAAAATTCCAATGATGATGGTAAAAAGTAGAGATCAGTAAATTCTTCCTCTCTTTGTACTATGAAGGGAATTTTCTCAAGAAAAAGGTATTGAATTCTTTTTGAAAGCAAAGAATTTCCCTAATACATGCTGAATGATAGTTATAATAGCTAAGCTGATCATAATGGAATGAGTCAGCCAGAAAGATTATCTAGAAGAGATGGTCAAGAGTTCTTACTCTAGAGCTAATCTTCACACCTGTGAAGAAATGGTCTGGGTTAGAACCTGCATGGAGATGCGTCTTGTTAGCTGTTTCTCTCCACTTGCGAGTATCTGTGATTATTTTAAATCTGAAATCTTTATTATTTCTTCTTCCGAACAGTTTGTTATTAAATAACATTTTCAAGCTTTCAATAATTTTATTTAATAAAGGGGTTTTGGGGTTTTGGGGTTTTGGGGTTTTGGGGTTTTGGGG